ACTGAAGAAACAAGAGTGTCCCAAAGTTATTATAGGAGACAATTTGTCATCTCATATTTCTGTAGATGTCTTGAAAGCCTGTGACCAGAACAATATTAGATTTGTTTGCCTGCCTCCTCATAGCTCCCATTTAACTCAGCCATTAGATGTTGCTTTTTTTCACCCAATGAAGGTGGCATGGAGGAAAATTCTCACCGAATGGAAAGCAAGTGTACAAGGCAGTCGAGAAACAGTAGTTCAAAAAAGCAGTTTTCCAGTTCTGTTGAACAGACTCATTGATATCTTGGAACCAACGAGGGAGGCTAATCTCATTTCGGGTTTCCGAAAATGTGGAATTTTTCCTCTTGACGTCAATCCATTATTGGACAGGTTGCCTATACTCTAGGCGCTGAAGAAAGAAACTAAACCCAAACAAATACACGCATATTGCTCGTGAGTGAGTGTTTAGGCGCAGGAGACATTACAGGACCGCATCAAGATATTATGGGTAGTCATCAAAAATTTCATACAAGATAATTATTATCTTTTACAGTAAATTTCAGTTAGAGATTCACAAATGAGTTAACCACACTTTTTAGTTATTAGTAAGTAAGCTGCGCGCACTCATTCAGAAGAGGAACTTGAATCTTCTGAATCGTTTAAATGAATTATTAGAGGTTCAATTTGGGTATCGATGACATTGTCCAAATCCCACATTTTGACCTCAACCTTCTCCCGAACGTGGCGGATACAGTTTTTCCATTCCTCTGCCGTAACTCTATTGACTGCGATGTGAAAGAGATTTTTAACATCAGAAAATTTATAAGTATTATTATTCGACGCCACGTATTGCTTTATGTTGGCCCAAATCAGCTCAATAGGGTTCAGCTCACAATGGTAGGGTGGCAGTCTCAAGACAGTTTTATTTTGTTTTTTGGTCATTTCGTCGATCATTTTAAAATCGTATTTGTATTTATGTCTATTGACTATACTTATCAATTCACCCTTGACCATTGTTTCATCAAAATCGATCTGTTTTGAGGCCAGCAATTGTTGTATGTTTGCTTTTTTAGTTGCCATTGTGGGAATTTTTTCTATTTTTCTAGAATGGTACGGGGCATTATCCAGTACAATAACAGCGTTATTCTCCAGCTTTAGTAACATTTTGGAGAACCAATTTTCAAAGGAATTGCCGTCCATCTTCTCATGATAGTCCCCTGTCTTTTTTGATTCAAAGGCCCACAGTGTTTCGGGAACAAAGCCGTCTTCACTACCTACGTGACAAATGATCAGCCGTTTGCCTTTTCCTGGAAATAAATTATTCCTTACACTATGGATTGATTAAATTTGAAGGAATGAGGCAATTGAGTTCATTTAGCTGAATTTAAGAGTCACGGAATGCTGATCAAAAACTGAAAAACGTAGAAAATTGAAGTTTGCAACTTCTCAAAACCCATTCAAAGCAAATTGACTGCACCCAAAAATGATAATAAATTTCAAAATAACGCTTAAAAGAGGGTCGAAGTTTTTTTCCTAATGACTACACTGCGAATGCACCATTTTTGGAGAATATCACACATTATCTGCTATCACAGCATATTATTTGCCCGAATTTATCAAAATTAAATTGCCGGATAGATGAAGGAGCTTACCTGCAGGATTTTTCAATCCAGCCGAAAGACCGTCTAGAGAAGCCTGCCTTGATGATGTTACTGATTTGTCGACCCAAACTTTCGCTTGAGTATGTCCAGCATTCACCCACGTTTCGTCCAAATAGTAAATTTTTCTTTTTTCATCGCGAAACTTCCGAATCTTCCTAAGGTATTCCCTTCTCCACACAACAATTTCTTCTTTCTCTATTAACATACTGTTTCTTCCCCGTTTCAAGAATCGAAAATTAAGTTCCTTCAAAAGTTTTCGGAATGTGGTTCTTTTAAATGATGGAAGATCCTCATCAGCATTAACTAATCTTAATATCTTATCTACTGTAGGTATCTCATTTCGGAAGAAAAAATTATGCACTTTCCTCCTGATGGCAGTTCTCTCAAAGTCATCTACTCCGCCCGTTATCCTTTTTCTTGCAGGATACGGTTTTGGCTCAGAAAGTGAGTGAGTGCTCCTATATTCCTTAATGATCCTATAAACACTGGACCGACATACTCCAGAAATATGTGCTACCTTACATATAACTTCGTCCACGACCAAATCGGGTTTTTCTTGAATTTGGTTTTTGTATATATTTAATATTATTTTTTTTTCATTTGCACTTAAATGTAGCTTCTTAGCCCTTTTTTTGGGTGGGGTTGCGCTGATGTCAACCACTTCGTCGGCTGTATCTGTGTCAGACATCGTATCTTAGGCAATATATAAACAAAACGTTCCACTCGCGAAAAACGAGTATACGCTACTGAATGCGTAATGCGTATGCAATGGAATCCTGTGCGTGAATTAACTGTTAGATGCCTGTCGTGTCATCTACAATCACGTTTACAAGTCCATACCTGTGCAGATTCGTAGAGCGCCGACGACTGCTAGTGACCTTGAATTTGTCTGTAGATCGATGTTACTCCAGTCAATTTAGGTTCAAAGTGGATGTTTTCTAAACCAATTTGTTGTTCCTACATCAAAAATATATCGATGATGTTTTGTACTGGGAGCTCATGAAAGATCAAGGTAACTTATTTTAACAGTCATCCTTTTTCTAGTCTCAAGATGACACAAAAAAGGGTCTGTGGATTCACTAGAAATACACTGCCGAGGATGTTTAGACCTAAAGTGACTGGAGTATATCCGTGGATGCTTTCGAGGGATCTGTTCACGTGCTGATCACTGTTTACGTTTAATGTCTTTCTTCAGCGCCCAGAGTTTAGAACTGTTGACCAGACTGCTTTACAAGATTCTTTTCTACAAAGCCTTGAAGCTAAGAGACTAGAATGGACGAAAGGTGGAACTACGAAACGACGTCGAACAAAACTAAATATCACTCGTGGGAAAAGCCCAACTGAAGAGTTAAGCACACTTTCGGATGATAAAGAAAATGGAGAGTTAGCAAAGCCTTCAACGGCACGAAGACCACGTCACCGTAGAGCTAGTAGCGAAAGCAGCTACGCAGATAGTGTCAACATGTCAGTTCACGACTCATCAGATGTTGCTTCTCCTGATGATTTAGAAAATCTTGAAGTTCAGTTTAATGCACAGGCTGAAGGTTGTGGCAAGAATATTAATTTTAAGCCACTCGTGAAGGCAGTTGGGCAATATGTAGTATGCACGTATGAAGGAGAAATTTTTCCTGGTAAAATTACAAAAATCTGTGAACAGGGACCATACGTTTCTTCAATGAAAAAGTCTTTGAAATCCTGGAAATGGCCTGAGCTTCCGGATGAAATCCAGTATCATTGGGAGGAAATTTTGGGATGTATTGATCCGCCTAAAAAAGTCAGTCTTACATCTACTCAGTCCCCGAACTAAACCAAATTTGGAGGTCTTAAATATTTGTGTACAAAATGTTATATTGCTATGAAACATTTTTATGTTTTTGTTCTTGAAAGTTTATAACAACGACTGACTTAACGTCTAAAGTTAAAGAAATTACAGTTCCTACTTTTTGTTGAAGTAACTTTAAGACATATAATGTGTACAATATGTATAAGTTTTTTATCGCATAAGTATTTTCAAGCTCTTAAGTTTTGCGTTCAGATGAAAGTAGTATAGAGCGAACAATGTGATTTTCTTTCAAAATAAATACAATAAACGAGATTTTGCAAAAGAAATTCTCTTTATTATATTATAGTTGGTCCACGTCGCAACCCACATAGTCATAAAACGGAATGGAAATTATAACTGGACCATAGTATCAATAAAGAAAGCGTAACTTTGCTCCGAAGGATTTTCTAACCAAGATCTGTTGTAAAAAATATTTAGGAGAGAAAATACCCACGACAATGGGTAAGATTGCTCCTTAATTATTGTTTTATATATACAAAAAAATACGTCTTGACATTAATTCGCTTTCAAAATGTGTTAGTTAATATGTTCCTCCATTTATGAAAACATATGAGCATATCTTAATAATAGATAGTTTTTCAAGGTGGTGCATTCTCACCTTGTTCATTGCGAATGTTGCCATTAATCCTGAGTTGGGCTTCGACCGTCCACAAGATGCAAGGTTGTACAATCGATCATTTATCTAGCCGCGATGGTCGAACCATTAATCACAACAGAATTTAAGTTATTAACAAAATTACTCAATTCAGAGTGAAAAGCGTGGGATGCATTTTATAAAAGCGTGTTTTTTTAGTTTCTTTAAACTATTATTTATTTCATACAGGAGCTGAGGTCAAGATGTAATTGACGAAGGAGATTCATCCAAAATGTATCAATGATTCATGAGTGTACCAGCGCCATAAAACACGAGATCATCTACACTAAATTAAAAATAAGATGTGTAGTTACTTCTAATTTCCAAAATAGCCCATGATCAAATTTGGGGCTTCGTCGAATATGTAACGGAAATATTTACAAAGAACTTGGTTGAGCTGGCTTGTGTAGACAACGTTTGAAAACTCAGTTTCACTTACTGTTGTGAACAGTTTCCTGGTGATAATTTTCTTTCACTTCATACTCAAGTCCGCATTTATTTTCAATTCAAATATGTCATCCGGGACATAATCTCTACTAGGGCAAATTAAGCTTCTAAATTAATAAGTTTAATTCATCTATAGATTTGTCGAAATAAGACAGAACAAAGTGCCATCTGCTACCAGAGTCGACCACTCCGAAAGTGAAAACAGCAAGCAATCTGTTGGAACTAATGAGACCTGTGGCTATTAAGAGTGACTGAGCCATGTAAAAATATGGAAATAAGCTGGATGGGGTTACGGAATCGCCTTGTTTTATATCCTTCCATTTCCTCTAACTGTTGTAGCTATGCAATCTGAGAGCGTAAATTTTGTGGAAACCAACCCCTTATCTGTTCCTAGCCATACATGAATAAAAATCGGTATCCCTGAACTTAATCTGGGTTAGCCCTTTGTTCTTCCTGCAATACGCATCATTAAATGAAACTCGCATGTATCGTAATCTGCTGACAGACCAAACCTTCCGTATGGGAGCTGGAAAAATTTCCATTCGTTACTGGATGCTGGAAAAGAGACTAGAGATTGTTGTTAAAGTAGTGTCACGATTAGTCGGATTGCCGTTCTCTAAGGGCCGTATCGTCAGTCGTTCCTACAATTTTAAGACGCCTTCATGGCCTCCACGATTTCATATATTTTCTCTCCTTCAGAAATGCTAGAATGGTAGGAAATTTAAGGCTATATAACAGATGATAAAAATCAAAAACATGAACAATTCGATCCAAACAGATATTGTCACATAACCTCTAAAATTGAGCGCTTACACGGAAGAGTAGAAAACGATAAAAATCAAGGAGCTCACAAAGACGTCCTACAATTGTAGGTACGTCTGACCACACGGCCCTAAAGCCGCGTTCTTATTAGTCAATTTTATTGATCAATAATAATGAATCTATGCCATTAATGTGAAAATCCCGTCAAGCATATTGCTCTATCCGTTTGCACAGTATGATGAGATTTACCATTGAGTTCTATGTTCAATGGCATAGATTCATTATTATTGATCAATACAATTGACTAATGAGAACCCGCCTTCAGAACTATAGTGTTCAATCGCATTGGAAGACCGTTGTGGTTGTTTGGGGTTATATTTTGCTCTCGTGTTGTTCCGAATGTTTTTTTGCTCTTTTAAGAGATACGAAATTCTATTTTATGTAAAAAGTGATCCACCATCGACGAGGTGTACTTGTCCTGTTTCTGATTACATTTTTTAAAAAATCACAAATAATACGATCGCCAGCATGCACAATTTTTCGCCTTGAATTCATTTTTAAACCAACATTATATAGTGCATATGAAATATTCAGGGATCAATTCTATGTACAATGGCATAGATTCATTATTATTGACCAATACGATTGACTAATGAGAACCCGCCTTAAGCGACAGCAGCCGCTAAGCAACAGACAGACCCGCAGAGGTATTACGTATCTTACATCCATAAAGTTGAATACTTTTCGTTGTTCAGGAACTGAACAAACATCCACACTATATTCACAACGATTAATAAATTTCCAAATATATATTGCCATATTTTTCTTTTTTCACGAGTACACATTCTAGGTTATATTTATATTAGACATTACTAGTTTTGATGATTTTTGGACTTAAAAGGACATTATTTGTGAAACATGTTTCATAATTTTTTGTCTATGTCCATAGTAATTGCATTATGCATCAGGGAGATGTACGGATTGACACGTCTTACACATATCTGTGTTTTAAGAAGGAGAGGACATAATGTTTTTATTGCTTTGAAGAAATTCATTAACCCATAAATTAATAAATGATTACTATTATGACGTAAAGGAAGATGAGGAATTGGATGGAATGTATTTTATATTCTATTTTCTTGCAAAATACAGACAAATCCACACTATTCAACAGGTATGTAATGATAACTTTCAGTATATTGAAGTTGGTAAATTCAAGAGTGCCATGCATTAACAATCGTCCAAATCCGCTGCCAAATTTAACAGCTAGAAAATCGACGTATTATTTGCCGCATTCCCATTCGCTGGGTGGGATAACGGATTGTTAAATGTAAACCTATAACATATATCAAAATACATGAAAGTTGTCCTGTTTTTTCTGTACAGAAGCATAATGTTGGAATCAAAAAGTGGTCTTGTTTATAATACAGTCGAATTTTCACGATTTTATTCAATATTTCAATAGAAATCACTAATATTCAGAGACCTTTGACAGCTTCCGTCAAATTGCATTTCGATAAGGTATTTTCCCATTTTTCCATAATATTAATGTTGGTGAAATTGGCCCTAAATGTAACGTCTGAAACTTATCCTATAGTTTTCATGTCGATAATCGCCCATGTCCGTCTGGTCAATAAAACCACATCTATTTAAAATGCTTCTTCCAATCACAAAGACTATCGTCTCAAGTACAATGACATATTTTATTTATCTGTCGCCTGGAAGACAGCGATATGGATAGATCTTTAGGATAGCTGCAGATAGAAGTATCTTCCTTTTCTGCATGTTTTGTGCACACATTTCTGAGAACAAAAGCTTTTATGACGCCAGTTTTAAATACTCGCGACTCTTATTCAGATGGAGAACTCTCAGAGTCTTGCGTATTTAGCTTTATTTTTATGACATTAGTTTATTTCACTGACTTAAGCAATCAGCTGGTTCCACCATCTTGGGAGTTGCCATGAAAGTTATTCTGAAAACCTGTCAATTATCACATAGCTATTTAACTTTTGGGACCCTACAAGGAATACGAGGGTGGTCCCAGAAGTACCCGACCCAATGAAGAGAACATACAAATTTTGTAAAAAAATGTATTTATTTTTCAACATAATCTCATTTGAGCTCTATACACCTTTCCCAGCGATGTTCAGTAAGTTCGATACCCTTTTCATAATAAGAACTGTCTTGCTCCTCAAAATAGCCATTAACTGCCAACATCACTTCTTCATCGTTGGAAAATCTTTGACCACTGAGCCATTTTTTCAAGTTTGGGAACAGAAAATGTTTCGGGGGGGGGGGGGGTTAAGTCTGGTGAATAGGGTGCATGAGGTAGCAATTCAAATTTGAATTCGTTAATTTTGGCCATTGCAATAACGGATTTGTGAGCTGGTGCATTGTCTTGATGAAACAACACTTTCTTCTTAACCAAATGCGGCCGTTTTTGCTTGATTTCATCGCTCAAAGGTTCAATAAGTTCGCATAATACTCGCCGTTGATAGTTTTACCTTTTTCAAGATAGTCAATGAAAATTATCCCACGCGCATCCCCAAAAACCGACGCCATAACTTTAACTGCAGATGAACCGATCTTCGCCTCCTTTGGAGCCGGTTGTCCCTTTTGAGCTCATTGTTTTGATTGTTCTTTTGTCTCGGGTGTGAAGTGGTGGACCCATGTTTCATCCATGGTGATGAAACGACACAAAAATTCTGCTATGTTGCTGTGAAACTTCGCTAAACACTCAAGTGAAACATCTTCACGACACTGTTTTTGCTCGATTGTGAGCAGTCGCGGCACCCATCTTGCACACAGCTTTCTCATGTCCAAATTTTCAGATAATATGCGATGAACCGCACTTTTTGAAATGTCTAGTATGTCTGCTAGCTCGCGCACTTTCAGTCGGCGATCCTTCTGTACCGCTTTGTGAATTTTCTTCACCATTTCTAGAGTTGTCACCTCATTTGGTCGACCACTGCGATGCTCGTATTGGCAGCTCATACGGCCTCGTTTAAACTTGTCACATATGCTTATAGGTTGCATACTTGCTAATACAATGAGATTTTTCAAACAACGATCGCCATCTGTAGGTCAGGACGGGTACTTCTGGGACCACCCTCGTATCACACGATTTAGTTTAGTAACAAAAGAGAAGCAAAATTTCTTCTAACCTCAATTTGCTTATTTGGCCGATCATGGAATATATACTGATTTTGCTAAAGCGTTCGATAGGGTGGATCATGGCATACTTTTAAATAAACTTTCTCATTATGGATTCCATTCATCAGCTTTAGCACTCATTCAAAGTTATCCTCAGGGTTCAAAGCTATTGCTTACCTTATTTATTGATGATATGGCGGAATATTTAAGTTGTAATAAACTCCTCTTTGCGGATGATTTAAAATTATTCAGGATTATTGATCCCAAGGCTGATTGTATTGTGTGATATTGATGCTTCAGTAGCTTGGTGCGACGAGAATAATTTATTTTTTAATGCGTCTAAGTGTAGTGTAGTCAGCTTTTCCAAGAAAACTTCTGTTTTTACGTTTAATTATAAGATTGGGGATGTTTACATAAATCGTTATAACTCAATTAAGGATTTGAGTGTTGTTTTTGACCAAACTTAAATTTTCACTCCACGTAGCTCAAAAGATGAGTGAAGGCGTATGGTTTTATTGTGAGAAACTGCAGAAGCTTCATCCGCCCAGAGACACTGTTTTGTATTCTGTATATATTAGATCGAAATTGGAATATGTGTCGTTAACTTGTAACCCAATTTACAACTGCTATGTTGATGTTCAGAGAAAGTTTCTGAAACTTTTATCTTTCAAACTTGACGGTGCATATCCTGAGCAGGGTATATCTGAAAGTTTGTTATTGTCTAGGTTCCAAATGCAGTATTTAAAGCTGAGAAGGAATTGTGCATCAATTATTTTCTTGCATAAACTGCTGCATAATCAAATTGATGCTAATGAGATTGTAACTCAACTATACTTTAATGCCCCATCTATTCAAACTCGTACTGTTTAAACCTTTTATAGTGACAGGGCTCGCACATATTTATTTTTGAAAGCACCCTTATATGTAATGTATCAAACTTACAATGCCATAATTATTGTGATATATACTAAGTGACATATAAATCCGAACACCCAGTTTAAATGGTTTTATTTTAATAAAATTTTGTATAAGTACTTAATGAAGCATAATTAGTAAATGATAAAAATTTCAAAATGATTGCACTGCTTTAAAGCCCTTTGACCTTTAATAATGTGTGGATGCACCCTGATGTGCTACGCATTCTCCAACGCGCCTAGGCATGCTTCTGATCAGGTGCTCAATGTCCTCCTGTGGTATCTCATTCCAGGCAACCACCAACTCCTCTCGAAGTGCTTCTAGAGTCTGAGGAGGACGTTGCAAATTGAGCAATCTCCTACCCATCATATCCCACACGTGCTCAATTGGGGATAAGTCGGGAGATCTTGGTGGCCATGGTAACAATGTGACATCATTATGTTGAAAGAAGTCTATTGTCACTCTTGCAACATGTGGTCGGGCATTATCTTGTTGGAAAGTTGGATCTGCCAGGGTGTCAAGATAGGGTAAAAGATGGGGTTCTAGAACTTCGTGGATATAATGCTGCGCGTTCATGTTACCTCTGATGAAGATTAAAGGCGACCTGGAACCATAAGCTTTAGCACCCCAAACCATAACTCCAACAGTGTGATGAACATGTCTTTCAACAAAAAACTGTGGATTCCTCCTTTCACTACGTCGCCTTGTAACCCTGGCACGACCATCGTGCATGCCTAAACAAAATCAAGACTCGTCACTAAAGACAATACTGTTCCGTTCCTGATCCCAGAGTGACCGTTGTCTGCACCACTCAAGGCGATTACGTCGGTGTTCTCGAGTTAAAGGGAGGACCCAGTGTGGCCGGTATGAAAACAAGCCAAAACTTCTCATTCGTCGGTAAACACTTCCCATGCCAATAGGTCTTCCGTGTTCTGCAAACCATTCATTTGGAATGGACCTGGTAGTGGAGAAACGGTCCCTTAAGGCCAATAATCTTAGGCGGCGATCTTCACGGTCTGTTGTTCTACGGTGGCGTCCAGTGCCCTTTGCTCTTTACGTACGGCCTTCTCGAAGCCATGCATGACAACACCTAACCACAGTGTCTACACTTCTTTGCACTCTAACTGCAATTGCCCGAAAACAAAGTCCAGCTTCCCACTATACGGCCCCTATCAAACTCACTAAGTTGACGAAATCGTACAGGTCTCCGTACTCTAGGCATCGTAACCGATCGTAAAGGATGTCAAGAACCAAAATCCGTCAACGTTGATCCTTTACTGCGGCTGAAATATTCATTTTTAGAGCGTTAGTGAATTAAAAAAAAGCAGTATAAAAACCGGAATGTCCAACTGATAAGGCTGAAAATTTTTTCACTTGTTATTTACAGTAAGATAAATACATTCACCAACTTTTATTAAAATAAAACCATTTAAACTGGGTGTTCGGATTTATATGTCACTTAGTATACGTTTTACATGAATAATTTACATGTTTCTCACTCGAGTGAAATACGTTTCTTGCTTTTTTTTTCTTGATTGTTTCTTCCCTCAGATGGAACCACCTGCTTTTTGTATGTTTTCTATTTTTGTTAGTTTAATTAATATTAGGATTGTCCTGTAAATGGGTTTCTTAACTGTTGGGCGATAAATCCTATTTACTCATAATCATCACTGTATTTGACATGATTACCGGTTATCTAGGTAGCCTGGCCTTGTTCTTATTGTAAAATTTTCCTCGGAGCAATTCAGCTTCAACGTTACCATATTCGTCATCTGTAAAATAAAGGTAATGTCTATCATAAATTCAATTTTTTGAATTGATGTCTCATGGTAGAGCTAGCTTTAAATACGGGAATTTCCACGGCATTTGACAGTGCACAGTCCATATAAAGACATATATTATAAAATAACTGCGTCCTTTGGGACCAATAATATATTTCTTACCCTAGTAGGACTCATAATTCACGTTTAAAAGGGACGTACAATACAGTCGTTTATAGCACTTGATATCTCCCCAGCTTAAAATATAATCATAGTTCTTTGCCGAGGGAGGGTTGACCTCAATTCTGTATTGGAGGAAAGGTAATCAGCCAAGATCACAGGACTTATGTCCTATTGGACCCCTTGTCCTCCCTCTACAGAAGTTAATAGGGGCTAGATCATCAGCCACCAAGAACGTTCCCTTCTGTTGATAAAACTAGGATTGTTATGGATATTGAATTCCTGGATATTGATACAGATATATGAATAATTCTATATTGATTTCGGATACGGTTACAAATAAGAAGTTATTCCTGATTATCTATTATACCCCATTCGTAGTCGATTTACTCCCAGACAAAACAAATTCACCTTCTAACCCCTGCTTTTGTCACCTCTGTAGTAAAAGGACTTATGATTTGTTTTGCCTTATTTACTATGCGCTAAAGAAGGAAATATAATTTATTCTTTGATGTCTGATGACTACCCATGTCACGTATTTTCAATATGTAGGTCTTTCACAGCTCCACAGACGCTGAAAATTTTGGAGCTATCAATTCTTTAAATACGACGATAGTGTCTTTTGTGCGTTTATACTCAAGAGTTAAAAAAGACAAAAATATTGATATCGCTTGCCTAATTGCCAAGTTTTACACGTCTTTGGGGTTATTAATGAGCTACTCGTCGAAAATACAGAACATGAGAAGATAGGTAGACTTCAAAGAATCCGTTATACTCGAGCAATTTCTCTAGCGCAAAGTAAATAAAGCAAAATAAGTAAGAACATTTTTAACCGCAAATGTGACAAAAGCAGAAACAAGAAAGTGAATGCAGACTTCCACTCGCAACTAATCGGCTCGTATTAGCATAGTTTTTGAACTATAGATGCATTCAATTGAATTAATTATTAATTCGTCAAAGGATTATTATTTGACCATTAATCTCTCTAATTGGGTACTAGATAGGAATTTGCATTCACACTAATTATTATATTTTATACCCTTTCGGAAAGCTGCCTATCGGTGAAGTTCCCGGATTGACTTATTTTCTGATTATTTTGGAATTAATCCCTTTCAAACATGTATTTTCAATATGAACTTTAAAATTTAAATTCAACAATATAGTGAATGAGTGATCTAACTTCAATAACAAAATTTAAAAATATGGTGGATGCGACATCGAGATTAGAGTCCAAATTCACATTTTTTTTTAGACCAAATAAACAAAAATTCACCTTAATTTTTTGTTTTGCGGCTGGACTTATTTTGTGTCCAGATTAGTGTAGAGTTAATTCCCTTTAAATATGTATTTTCAATATGAACTTTGAAGTTCAAATTTGGATGGTGATACCGAGCTTGGAGTCCAAATTCACATTTTTTAAAACGAGTTAACAAAAATTCACCTAATTTTTAGTTTCTTGAGTGGACTTATTTTGTGTCCACATTAATCCAGAGTAAATCCCCTTTAAACATGTTTGTATTGTCAATATGAACTTTGAAGTTCAAATTTAAAAACATGGGAATGTGTCTTCGTAGTCAAAGAACATAGCCTTGAAAATATGGTGGATGTGTTACCGAGCATGAAGTCCCAGGTCCATATTTTTAGAATAAATAAAAAAAAATCACCTTGGTTTTTATTTCCCGGGTGGACTTATTTTGTGTCCACGTTAATCCCCTTTAAATATTTATTTTCAATATGAACTTTAACCCTAGATTACGGGACTTGTTTCAAAATACTTTAATACGGGACTATCGTAAAATATACGAAGATAATATAAAACTTGCATTGTACAATAAAATTCTTATGAAAAAACTCATGAAAAATAAAAAATATATTTCTAAGGACTTTACAATAAAATGCAAGAACAAAATATCAATAAAAAGTCAATATATATTATTTGACACTACATTCCTTGCATACATTTCCTCGATGCTCACCACAGATCGGATGTCCACACTGTCCACAATACGTCGTTGTCATCCGTCTCTTTTGAGAAGGGCAAAAAAAGCACGTTTTACGCTTTTTTTCTAGAGGGATTTCAGGTGTTGTATCTTTTCGAATATTGAGAAGAAGGGCAATATCTTGACTCTCGACGCAACGTAGGAGTCGATAATCTATGCCTCATCCATGGCTCAGCAAGGCGACGACTTAAATCTATCATGTACTGGGAACGTGAAAGGGGTTTCTCTCCTCTTGATAAAGCATTAAAAGTATAAATCACAAAGGAGTTGATGCTGGCTATATTCACCATACCATATAGCATACACAGGGGCCATCTTCTAGTTTTCCTGTTGCAGCTCATGTTGGAACACATTTGGTCGAATGTGTCGACACCCCCTTTAGTTTCATTGTAGTTCTGAACAATTGCTGGTTTTCCTGTTTGTTTTGAAATTTCAGCACCCTCATGCATTGTAGACAATAGCAGTACTAATTTCTGCTTCCTAGGCACATACGAAAGTAATACTTTTTCTTGATCAAAACAGAACATTGATGTATTTACGTTTCGCTGCCTTATGTCAAGCAGTTCGGGAGGAATTTCCCTTTTATTTTTTCTTAGTGTTCCAATTATTGTCAGTTTGTAAGGATCTTGGAGTAGTTCATTTGCCAAACTGACGGACGTGAACCAATTGTCCATGGTAATATTCCTGTTACTTCCATGGACAGATTTTGTAAGCTCCTTTACAAAGTAGGTAGCAAATTCGTTCTGGTACTTTTTCCTATATATGGACTAGCATCAACCATACAGCATGTTGAGTTGTCACATAGCATGACAATTTTTATACCATACTTTGAAGGTTTATTCGGTATGTACATGCGGAATGGACATCGTCCACGAAATCCCAAAAGCTGTTCGTCTATAGTGAGGTAAGAAGATGGTGTATATGATGATCTGCAAGTTTCAATGAAAATATCCCGTAACTCACGGATATGGGTGAAAGGATCATTAATTTTTCTTTCCTGTCTTGTTTCTCTTGAATCAAATCTGAGACAGTTCAGTAAGAACATATATCTGTCACAGTTCATGCAGGCTCTATAGAAGGAACCAGAAATCGTCGTATCAAACATATGTCTGGCAGATAGATGGTTGTCTTTCTTGGCAGCCGAGAGTATCAAAATTGCAAACAGCGCCTGTAGTTCTTCTTTAGTGGTAGGTGACACATTGTTGTTACCCGTGTAATTTTGCCTTTGTCGTACAATTTCTTCGTTAGTGTGTAGTAATGTTATATCAAGAATAGGATCAGAGAAGAAATGCAAAAAATATTCTTCCAGTGTCACATACTCCTTCGCTTCACCTTTCGGGCCTGCTACAAAATGGATGAGGTTTCTTGAAGCAGTTCTTTTAGTTCTGCTGGGCTGTGTTGATGTCCATCTCTGACCATTCTTTCCTTTCAAACTCAAAATATTGGGTTTAACTAGAAAGTGATTTGTTTTACAAGGTTCAAGTTGAGGTTGATGTACGAGATCGTCGGAGTTCACATGGCCGTCATCATTCTTTTTCTCTGCCGAAGTAGTCGTTTCTTGTTCATTTATAGGAACATTCTCGTCCAAATAGAATTCATCATTTGAATCATCTGATCCCTGCATCGATTCTACTTCAATATTATCTTCTTCCCAATCACTGCCACTATCCTCAAATGGATCTGGATCACTGTCTCCTCACTCCATAATTTTTCTCACTTCTTCTTCCAATTCTGCCTGAGATAAGGACCGTTTTGAAGTCATTTCGCTGGATGTACTCAGAACGCTATAAGTATGAAAAATAGAAAACACCTTACCTCACAAATAAATGTCAGCAAAACCGCTTTTCAAAGAATAGAATAAAAATCAGCTTGCGCGAAAATAGCAAACAGTGACACGGGACTATCGTAAAATTTACGACGGAAGTGCAAAATCTCCGTTACGCTTGACAAATACACGATGTTACGTACACCGAAGTCTAGCCGAAAACTAAATAGGAAGGTATCGAGAGTCTCATTCCGATACGCTAACCGAAAATGAACGAAAACCCACGACGAATATTGTCGATCGTAAATTTTACGAATGTCCCGTACTCTAGGGTTAAATTTCATTTTTAAAAATATGGTGGATGTGTCGTCAAAGTTAAAGAATGGACCCTTAATAATATGGTGGATGTGACATCGAGCGTAGTCGTTACCATCTAGAGAACAAGGCCAAACAACTGAGCAGCTTCAATGATGATATGCTTCTGTATGCCAAGATACATTTTCGATATTTCGTTCAATCTGTCACCTATAAAGTCTAATATTCCATTCAGGATTGGAATATGTGGCAACCTTGGCGACACGGCTAACATCCAACAGGTAGCTAGGACCCAACTAACTTCAAATTCTGAGGTGCTATTATGTGTGTTTCTTTGCCTTGTAAACTGGAAAATATAGTTTTAAACTTATTTTTGTGTATCGGGATTGTTTCTAATTGTGCCGGTAATTACGGGAAATGTCTTAAGGTACACTTATTTTCGTTTGCACTTAAAAAATGTCTAAAGGTGTCAAATCGGGCGAGCGAGCTGGCCATACCACAGGACCTCGACGGCGAATCCAACGACCGAGGAAATTGTTATCTAAATAATTCCTAACTTAGTAGTGTGGTGGAGCACCATCGTATGTTACTCGCTAGTGCAGATGTACGGCACGCCGTGCTGTCGGCCGGCTCGCCTACTCGAGGTGACGTCGCGCGTCTGTTGTCAGACCTTGTTCTCTCGGTGGTAACGGTAGAGTCCAAATTCACATTTTTTAAAATAAATAAACAAAAATTCACCTTATTTGTTAGTTACCGGGTGGGCTTATTTTCTATCCACTTCAATTCATTAATCCCCACCATTTAAACATGTATTTTCAATATGAACTTGACCAACAAATCAGCTTCGGCAGTACTGCATGGCTTGCTTATCAGTTATTTATATTAAATCCACACAGCAATAATCACAACAGTTATTTTACAATTACTATCCGGTTGAAGTTCTGAATTCGAAATCTATAATCCACTCATATATTTAACGGGTAGTTTTAAATAGACGTAATTAATATTTAACATTTTCAGTATATGATCATAATAATGTTTCCAAATGGAATACGTTTTGTCAAAACTACAATGTTATTTGAAGTGAATCGGTTTAGCTATTGCTGATGCTACCATTATACAAGAAATTACGCACATATTTATATCTCTATAAACTCGATACATACTCACGGTGAATGCACTACAGGAAGCATGCGGATATTTCATAATCAAAACTACTTTGTTCTATTTAATTAAGCGAAATGTAGACGTATACTCCATGAAACCGCACACCTCTCTTAAGGGCGGCTGGAAATCTAATTGTAAGTCAGAAAGCAGAGAAAGAACACTAACAGCAGCGGGATTGGAACCTAAGATGGTTTGTATAGTAAGCGGTCACCCATAGAAAGAAGTATCAAAGAGTATACAGGGCATTTGGAAGGTCGATACAAAGCCTTGGGGAGGTGATAGGGCAGACCGCTTAGAATCTTTTAAGCCAAAAATACCTCTGGTTAAAGTCTTACGGTTATTCGAGATTTTAAATTTTTATTGAAAAAAAGTATGCTTTTTGTTCCTGTTATCACTGAAAAATATGAAAAAGTTTTTAAATACCTGACAGTGTGGTTTTTTCCTCCGAAGGGAGAAAAAAAAAGAACAAATTGACTGTAAACAAATAATATATACAGGTATTCCTGTTTTTGTGATACTGATAAGAAGGAACGTGTTTGCGTGCATGATAAAACTAAATTCCTTTTCAAGCAAGCCAAGAGTAATTCATGAATTTCAGTCCAAAAGCAATGAATTAATTAGTTTGTAAAGTGGCCGCTTTTACTAACGAAGAATACGCAAATATCGTTTACATGTATGGCAGAGCAGATGGTAATAGACTAGAAGCACGACCGTTGTACCAAGAGCGATTTCTTGGGAGAAGATTGCCTAATGTCAGAGTGTTTTACAATACTTACGAGATTGGAAGTGTAACACGTAATGAACCTGGTGTTCATCTAGGTCGATATCCTCCTGAAGTCGAAGATATAATACTCCAAGCGTTTGAAAATGATCCCAGCTACTAGGAAAGTTGCTGCTGATCTTGGTTTGTCACCCTGGAAGGTTTGGAGTATCGTGCACCGTGAACGAAAATATCCTTTTTATGGTATCGGTGTACAAGGCCTTGAAGATGGTCATCCTATTCGCAGAAGCCAACTTTGTTGTTTTCTCTTACATAGTGACATTGAGAAAGAACGGTTCCTGGTAAGCATTCTATGGAAGGACGAACAAATTTTTCAAAGGAGGCCATTACGAGTTTTCACAATTTGCATCAATGGGCTGATAAGCAGGAAAATCCACACTGGAAAAACAGGTGTCTTTCCAGCACAAATTTTCCGTTAATGTATGCGCCGCCGTCATGGGACAAAGATTAATCGGCCCTCATGTTTTGCTTGAAGGATTAAACGGCCCTAGATATCTACACTTTTTGCAAAATGATCTTCCCGAATTACTTATAGGATAAGTAAGTCCAGATGACATGCAAATTGTTTGTCCAGCTCAATTTCCGTTTAGACGTAAAACAATATTTGGACGATACTTTTCCAAATAGCTGGATAGGCAGAGGTGGGCCAATTCCGTGGCCTGCTAGATCCCCGGACTTGACACCATTGGATTTCTATGTCTGGGGGCGGGCTAAGCAGTTAGTTTACATTGAAAAAATCGTATCAAGAGACCATTTAATAAGAAAAATTCGAGAAGCTTTTTATTTAATGCAGCAAGATAGGTTATTAAATACAACAACTACCGAAGTAACACGTAGAGCTCCAGCATGTACTAGAAACAATGCTTCTCACTTTGAACACCAATAAAGCATGTTTCATCAGTTTATTTTGTTTCGTTTACTAATTTATGATTTAAATTTGGATATCCGAATATCTCGAAAACCGTAAGACTCTGTACTGAGGTATGTTTGGCTTAAAAGACTCCAAATGATCTGCCCTATCCCTTCCCCAAGACTTTGTATCGACCCTCCAAGCACCCTGTATTTTTCAACTTCAAACAAATTTCACGAGTGCTGTTCTAAAAATAAGGTTCCCACATTTTTTTTCAGGCAAAAGGAATTTTTTATTTGAAGAAACGAATCCACAATTGGAAACGTTGATCTTTAAGCTATTTCTATCCACAGTCGCTCAATCTTCGCCACAACTTCCTCGGAGATCGACGGCCTCCTGCTTCGTTCTTCATCGTGAATGCTTATACGCGTTTCTCCATATATTTCACTCAAGTGGCGAATAATTTCTATTGGTGGTAACGTTTTTGCATGCAAAAACCGGATGTCCGCACGAATTTCGCACCTAGCGGTGGCGGCAATAAAGTGCTTCAATGCGCATGGCTGTGGGGCCGGTACTGAGCATCGCAAATAGGCGCTTCTTGTTGAGATCGGTGGTGGGGGAGACAACAAACACGACGCTGTTGCCAGATGCCGCCTAGCATCACACGCGGTAAAGATACAGCGTTTGGAACCCTATTTTTGAGACAGCCTTCGTACGCAGATATAAATTATTAAGCATAGTCGCGGTAAGTAAAAGGAAAGTGCAAACTTTTGGAACATCCTATAGGAGACGTGAAAGCACTTGTTCAGTAATTTTGTTGCATAGGAAAAGAATTATTCCGAACTATCAGTTTTCCAATCATCCAGTTCAGCTGATTCATTCAGCGATATCGGAAAAAGAGAGATGGAAATATGCCGTTTTTTTTTGTTTCGGTGGCGTTGAGCGTAGTAGAATAAATAAGCTAATACTCCATTGGAGCCTTTAAACACTTCGCAAGGTAATAACGGTTTTTTGCCCGGGGGATTTGCCATTTTCACGGTGTGGCAGTTCTTTATTACCTATAAGTCCTTCACAGCGATAGATTTTCAAATTTTTTCATTAGGTGCGATGAGCCTGCCAAGATAATGGAATTTCAGATAGACTTAGCAGTAAGCAACAACTTTCCAGGGCAGAGCGATCTTACCTTCCCGGTTGGTGGTGAACCGTTGTAATCGTGAACAACTTTGAAAATGAGATACGACGGTTGTTTCAAAAATGAGGTTCCCACATTTTTTTCAAATACAGGAAATGTTTTACTTGAAAAAACAAATTCACCATTGGAAACGTTGATCTTTAAGCTATTTTTCTCCATAGTCGCGATTTTGTTCGAAGCATCTTTTTAGACGTGAAATCCACCTTTGTACCCCCGCCTCAACGAAGTCCGCTGCCAGCCCGTTTAGAAACTTGGTAACTGCTCATTGCAACGCCTCGTCTGTCTCCAACCGTTGACCGCCAGTGATCACCAACCTTTTCAGTTTGTCGACCTACTTTGATAATTTTGGAATAAACAGTGAGCTACCTAGTCGTAAGCACTGTAAGCCAACTTAAATGAAATTATACTCAGCTGTACACTTGTACTAATACTAATACATACTAATAAACTTAAATGAACTTATACATACTACATAACTACGTCTATTCCTACCAATCGTAGGTGTTTGAAAAAAAAATTGTCAGCTACAATGGCATGTCACATACGATTTAATAAAGGTAACTAAAAATAAAAAAGCGTCGCACTGATACTCAGACTCACTGAAAATGTTTTTAATGTTTGGAGTATAATTTGATACCGCCATTCGAATACAATTATCCAAATGTTCATCTGTAGATCGATTACGGTATATGTTTTTAATAAGCTATATTTGAAAAAGCAGATTCACCCAAATAGTTTGAACTGAATAACGCTTTCATGTTCAAGGCTACACGACATAAAGCTGACTATTTACTTACCGAAGGCCAGATACATTTTGTATTTGAGACTAGTAATTTTAAAGCTAAATCATTTTGAAACGCAATCGCTTCTATTTCTGACGCAGCATGTCTTCGCTAAAATTCTGTGTAACAGAAGTTGCAAATTGTTGGATATCAATTTCCATGAAAGGTGAAACTACATATTGCGCCGCTATAGCAATTTCGTTGAAATCCTTGAAACGATTTTTGAAATTATCCTTCAAGTCGGAGACTATTTCTACATGATATTTACTGTTTGTCGTATGGTTCTAATGTACTTTGAGATATCGTTTCTGAAAGAACAGGAAGAATGTGTTATCGCCATCTACTAGGTTTTGTTTCCAAAACTCAAGCTTTTTGAAAAACGCTTTTATATCAGATACCATTTCTGCTAGTTCTTTGTCTCTCCCTGAAGCTGCAAATTAAGTTCATTTCATGTTTCTGTAATATGAACAAGAAAACCAAAATCTCTAAGCCAGATTCAATTTTCCAGTTCCGGAATCGGTTCATCAGGTTGTTTGAAAAATTAAACTGTGGCAGATATGATATCATTAAAACGTTTCAACACTCGTCCCCTACTTAACCATCTACCATAAGTAGTTCCCCGTATTGACAGTCAATTTCATCGGCCAAGGTTTTGAATAATGTTCTTTGTAACGCTTGAGCCCTAATCTTGTTCACAATCTTTACTACCAATTTCATAACGTTGTTTAGTTTTGCAGTGTAACAGAGATATTGCGGAAAACTTTCATCTTTACGACATAACCCCACGAGATCCTTATCACGTCCCACCATAGCTGGATCGCCGTTTGTTGTCAAGCCTACCATTTTTGATATTTTCTCAGAAGAAATAATAGTTTTAGAAGAAGAGAACAAGTCCTGTCCAGTAAACTGCCCTTTTAGTGGAATAAACTTCAAAAGATCTTCTTTAGTGGTAAAATCACTAAAACCATCCCAACGAACACGGCCATCTGAGAAGTGTCAACAACATCTGTGGATTCATCCAGCTGCAGTGAAAAATAAGCACAGTTATCCAAGTCATTTCTTAACTGTAAAACTATATCATTGCTCATTACATCTACTCGTCTCATCACTGTATTAGCAGATAGTTGCAAAGATTTTAGAGCAGACACTATCTCGTCTTTATTTCTAAAGTTGGCAAATAATGAATCTGCTGCTTCTAAAAACGCCTGTTTTCTCATTTCCCCATCTTCATAAGGTTTCTTCTTTTGAGTAATTATCTGGGGTATGATTCTTCAGTTAAAGCCTTACTTTTGTCGATTGATTTTAAAAACATTGTCTTTTGTCTAAATAAATTGTTTCAGTTTTTCCGTTCTGGTTGCATAACGTAATGGGAATGATTTTTCAAAATTCGAATATACTTATTTATATTGCCTCTCGATATTCCCTTTTTAGCAACGGAAACAGATCTATTACATATCAAACATACATTTTTACCTTTAACTTTTGTAAAGAAATATTTATGTCTTCATCTTCTTTCTACTGCTTATAATGTTTTTAATTGCAGGGCAACTCTAACGCAATCGCTGGACGTTGCCGTTCAGGCTTAAACTGTGCGCACTGTCGCCGCGCCTTGCGTATTTATCCCGTTAAAGCTAAGCGAGATCGTTCTCGAATAGATCGCTCACCACAGTGTTGCCGCTACTTGTGTTTATTATGAGAATTAAATAAATTTACGGAAGCTTCTATGATTTGTACACCTTTTTAAAAGAAGTTGTGAGCCACCAGAATTGCCCTTGCGAGCTACCGGTAGCTCTCGATCGGCGGGTTGGCGACCACTGACCTAGGTGCCCCTTCAATTTCGGAAACGTGCTGTAAGAGAGATGGGCAATCACTTCCCGGCCATATCGCTCGATTCCTTACTACCACAGAAAATACGTTGTAATTGGACACCTAACAATAATAATCAATATCTATTAAAAATTAGGAGGCAATGTTTGACTTCAAACATCTATTTCTGGGCTGTCGAAAAGCAGGTCTCAACAAAGCTTTTATAATGCCATAAGCGGGGGGTTCAGAAAAATACTGCTATATCGAAGATAAATACTTATCAGTAGGGCAAATAGGGAGGCTATCAGACAGATTAGAATTGGTGAATAACCCAGCAGTGATATTCTGAGGTAAACCCACTGCGGGACGTGACAGCTTTGCTATAAAACAGTGCATGGAACTTTTGCAGAAAATAACCATTTTTACCATACTATTTTATTGGTCCATCGGGATAACGCTGGTTTCATCGGGAGCTTGTACCATGCAATTTTTATGAACCGTTCACGCCGCAACTGAGTTTCATTTAGCGTTTAAAAGTATAAATAACCGTTCAATGATTTTTTCATGCGATATTTTACAATTATTTTATATCACGTGTAACTAAATGGTAGGCGATATTTCATCCCATGTTTTCTGGATAAAAATAAACGTTGTTAGGTCACACGTGCAGGGGATTTGTATTTTTTCCGTTGCATATTAATTAATTTTTTGGTATATAAAACAAGCCACCAATGTTTTCACAACAATTGAAAAAACAAAACTACTGCCATGCTGCACCAGTGGTGGCTACCTATAATAATCCACCTGATATCGTCACTAAGGCATCTGGCCCTGGCTATGTTACGCTCAAAGGTCTTCTTATTATTGTGATGCTTGGGTAATGTATTGATTGATTGAAGCTCTTCATTGGGGTTCTTCTGCTGCAGCTCTGACTTTTACAAGAAAGCTAAAATGAACTTGAATGTCTTCAGCGTTCGCTTGCACTTACACATTTTGTATTTTACTCAAAATACCTGCTGTGTGTATTATGTATGACAAGGGCCCAAGTATAGATCTTTGCGGCACTCCTGATAGAATATCTATGCTTTCTGAATAAGGACCGTCAATATAGATTTTTTGGGAGCGTTTAAGTAAGTAGCTCCATACCAAAAAACGTGAGGAGTCAGTGAAACCATAGTACTTGAGCTTTGAACACAACAATTTATGATTGGTGATGTGAAAAGCTGTGGAGAAACCCAAAAGTACAAGTACGCCAGACAAACCTTGAACAGACGCCATTGAAATATTCGTAGTCATTTTTCTATGTCGATCGTGTATTTTTCCAGTGTAGGATATACATTTTCCGAGAATTTTTGTTGAACTTTTTGGGGATTGGTTGCAATGTAAATTGATTTGTTGAACAATATTGAAGTACGGCTGCAAATGTTGTTTTTGGGATATCTACTCTACAAGGTATAAAACATCAATAATACTGTGTAGAGGCTAGTTTGTGCTTGGGGATCAAGTGTTTATAATCAATTGATGCTCCAAAACTGAGTCTCGTTGAGTTATACTCTCAAAAGCTATTAAAGTGTATCCAATATCTTCGTAGCGAGCCCCTCAGAATACTTCCTTATATACTGAATGACAAAAAAAAGTAAATACCTACGTATGTTCATTAGAATTTAATTTTGTACATATCGATTTATCTTTCCATGAACAACAAGTGATAAGATGGTCAAGTGTTTCTTTTAAGTTCTTGTCGTGCCTGCGTGTATTGTTTGGTGATAAAGAAGCATTCAGTTTTTGTACATTTACTGTATCAGTTAAATGTTAAATCACTCACATTGGGTGCTACCTCTCACAGCTGAAGATCGGCGTAACCGTTTGCTCTGGTGTAGAGAAATAATACTATGGTACCGGAAATGGAATCAGGTGGTCTTTAGTGACGAATCCCGCTTCTTTCTGGGGATGCACGATGGTCGGGCAAGCATGAGAAGGTGACGTGGTGAAAGCCGTGACCCACAATTTGACAGAGAGCGTCACGTTCACCACACCGTGGGAGTTATGGTATAGGCTGCTATTGCTTATGGTAGCAGATTACCACTAATTTTCATCATAAGCAATATGACTGCTCGACGCTATATTCAGAAAGTAGTGTAGTCTTATCTTATTCCATACCTAAACACCACACAAAACTCGATTTTTCAACAAGACAATGCCGGACCACATGTTGCCAGAGCATTGTTAGCCTTCGTGGATCAACATCGCATCAACCGTTTACCTTGGCCATCGATCGCCAGACCTATCTCCAATTGAATATGTTTGTGGATCCTCAACACATTATTGAACCAGCTTCTGCAGTCAGTTGACGAATCAAGCTGAAAATGTAATCATTTTACTATACTATAACTATCTAAAACTGTAATGACTCATCGATGTTCACGTGAACATCACTTAACTACCAGTAGTCGGCTGTTCATAGGCGGGGTATGAATGTTTAACATGGGTGAACTTGATTTGTCACATGCTTAATAAAGAGTGGTTTGTCAAAAATTTGGGAATTACCTTTATTCATCGTCGCTTCCACTTACATCTGACAGTAATAAACTGTCGCTATCGCTTTCCTCGTTGAAATTGACTATAACTGGCTCTATGATGGTGTCGATGTGGTGGTCAAGCTGCCACATTTTTGTTTCTTCCTTCACAACATGACGGATAGCATTCTGCCAAGCTTCGGGCGTTACTAGCTGTATGGAAGTCTCAAGTAAAACCTTAACGTCTGGTAATTTGAGGGTTGTGTTATGGCGCGCAATATAACCCTTCACTTGAGCCCAGATGAGCTCTATTGGGTTCAGTTCACAGTGGTAGGGCGGTAACCGCAGCACAGTGACACCACATTGACGGGCCATCTCATCAGTCACGTAACTAGTGTTCACACATGAATCGTCAAACGGGATTCCTTTTTCGCGCAACCATTGCTGCATGTCACTTTTTGAGATCCCATAGTCGGTACACGTTCGGCTCGACGACTATGGTAGGAAGCATTATCCATGACGATCACAGAGTTGGGCTCAACTCGCTGAAGCACCCCTTGAAACCAGCTCTCGAAGCAGCTGGCATTCATTTCATCATGGTAATTACCTCCTTTCTTAGAGACGAAAATCAAGTCACACTCTTCTAAAAGCCACTATCGCTACCAATATGAGTTACGATCAATCTTTGACCTTTACCTGACAGTCCACGAAGACCTGTTGACAAACCTTCAATGCTTGCTTGTCGGTTACTCACTACGTTTTTGTCTATCCAGGTTTTTTTAACTGTGTGACTTGCATTTACCCATGTCTCGTCCAAATAATAGATTTTTCTGCTTTGTCGCCTATATTCAATCATTTCGCGTAGGTATTTTCGACGCCAGGCGACTATTTCAGGTCTCTCTATCAATACTGACTTCCGATAACGCGTTTCGTAACGAAAATTAATTTCGTGCAGGGATTTGCTCATTACCTCGACGCTCATTTGGGGTATAATTTCATTTTCCTTGATCGCTGCATGTACAGCCTTGAGGGTTGGTATCTCATTCCTAAAGAAGAATAAATGTACGGTTCGCCTTAACGCCATTTTGCTATCGTCATCCAATTTAACGGCCTTTCGTCCCTTCAAATTAAACTTTGGATCAGTAGTAGCTCCAGTTTTCTTCTTTTCATGCACCACCCTGCGAATGGTCCACTCTGGAACGCCTGTCATACTTTCACAACGCGCGAGTGCATCTCCCTGCGACATAGTTCTGTTCAGATAATTGAACACGTTGAGCACGATTTCTTTCGCGTCCCTCTTCAGTGCTTTACGAAGCCGTCTACTTGTTCCCTGGCTTTCAGTACTTCCACTCGTGCCATTTGTACTCTCCATGGTTAAGTATAACCAAAACAGTAACCACAGAAACCACAGCAATAACAATCACACAATAATTCTTATAAAAACACACAATATGCGATCGCTCAACGAAACACGTTCCAATGCGTTGCCGACGCCTATGAGTCTGCCGGTCGAGGCGCGTC